ATTAGCCCCAGCATGCTCAGCAATTAATCCCCGACGACTATGTCCCCCGCTGATATCCGCTCACCAAAGACGCTAACTTGCGCGCAGAAAATGTAGCTTCGAAAGACTCCCACTCCAATATATGCAGGCAACCTTGGCACAATTTTTCATCATTATTATCAATCTGCAAAGACCATGCAAATAATATTACAGTATTATCACTCTACGCGGAAAACGCATCAACAAAGTTTTCCCAGGGTGATGAAAGGTCTAATTAAAAAGGGAGTTTCTCACAAGCCCCGGGGAGATTCGCACGCAAAGTCACACAATACAGCACAGTACAGTAATTATCCAATCTTCCTACTTCAATTGTTCCTATTTTATCTCCAATGATCAATTACCTTCAAGGCAAATCATTGATATTTTTTCCTCCGTAAACAATCAGTAGAATTCCGTCAATTTCAGGTTTTTTTTCCCCCACAAGAATTCGCTTGAGGTCATCTCAGAGGATTCCTCACAAAGTTCAACAAAATTCATGAATGTAATTCTGTGATTCGGAAGTGACATTTTTCATGTGTTGCAGAAATAAATTCATTCATCTAAACTTAGAAACAAGGCTTTTGAAGTCTTGCACCAAAAGCTTGTGTATCAGTGAGATAAGAATCTGGCATGACGGTTTTCCAGATTCTTATCACCGAAGAAAAGTTAGGTTTAGAAAAGGGAGAATATCTCAAGATCTGTCAATTGGGTAAATTTTTATAATATACAAGAAAAGTTGAAGAACATCTTTGGGTTCAATTTAAAATATTGTGAAATTTTTAAAGTGTAAAATTCGCGGAGTTATTTGCTTCGGAAGTTTGCGCGTCGGGAATTGCGCCATAGGCAAAGCATCTGGAAGAAACACTTATTTTGTAATACTCTAGAGCTAATTTTTGGGTTAGGTATTATATGAGGCGGAAGGTGCTTGAAAAAAGTACCAGGGCGTATTTGACGATTGCATCATATTCTCGAAAAAAAAACGCGGTATACGTTTCTGGATCCAAAATTATAAAAAAAAAAATAGAGGCGTTACAGGATTTTCTGATCACGAACAATTTTAAAGATGAGTCATTCTCATCAGGAATAATTTCGAATCGTTGGATAAGTTCACGTCTTGATTCATCTTCGAGGATCGTAAGCCAAAAAGAATTTTCGTAGGAAAAAAAAAAGAAGCTTAGAGTCCCAAACAGATCGACTTGGGGAAGAAACACTGTTCACTATCATTCGCTGGCAGACAGACGGCAAATGAACAACAATTAACTCCTTCCTTCGCTTTTGTTGGAAAGCAGGCTCTGGTATTTAGGGGGTCCACTGAATCATCCCAGCAATAAAGGTCTTGAATGGATCTGTTTCCGAGAAGATAAATCAAGACTATACATCCCCCATTCCTACAATCATCTTCCCCAGCTTCCACATTCTCCGTGTGCCTGGAATATCTGGAAATATACCCTCTCTCTTTCTGTTCAGTTGTTCAGACAAATACTAATCGGATTGGATTTAGTAACACTCAAGACCAGAAGTCTGGTACGGAGAAACGTAATCACACCCAGATGGAACCTCTGAGTTATGGTCTGCGAAAGAAACGTTCACATTAAGCCTGTACTAGATACTATAGTACATGTACTCATGTCCTTTCACCATCTCGATACCCTTTGTAGATTTCCCGATGAAGAAATAATTGCTAGCTTCCCATCAACTGACGACGGCGGAAAATGATCAATAACTTTTTTTTTCAAATCTAGCTCATGGTAGAACATCAATGATCTCAGGATGGTATCGGTTTTTGTAATCAGAATTTTCAGACAAGAAAATGATTTGCAGGAGAGAATTTTAATAATTTTGTGCTATCGTCAAAAAAATGGATTCGAGTGAAGAAATCTCCTTCTGTCATTTTTTGTCCTTTTTCATGAGCAGGTGAACCATTTTTTTTAATTCTTACACAAAAATAGCCAAGGTAACATTTGAAAAATACTGTATGCCAAGACGGACAGAATCAGTATTTCAACAAAATATGATTGGAATATCAAAATTATCATCGTAAAACTCAGATGATCCAATAAAAGATGCACTGCAAAAGTTTTTCAAGTTATTTTGGCAAGAGCAGATCTGCAATTGAACGTCATTTATAAAAATGCTAGAAAAAATGCTTGAAGTTCAACCTAGAAATGTATTAGTAAACCTCTGATTATATGAAGACTACCAAAATTTCAACTGGCTTTGATGATACGGAAAGAAAAAATCTGCCAAAAATTCAGCCATCATATTGTCATTTGACGTTAGGGGGGGGGGGGACTTCTAGTTATGCACACCAAACGTCATGCAGAAGATTTGCATTAAAAATCGCTGATTTCAAGTTCAACACCGAGATTGAGCCTTTCTTTCAACGATTGCGGAATTTTCGATGAATTTTTGCAATTCTCGAATCGAAAAATTCTTCCGTTTCATAAATCTGAAAATATCTGCTATGTGATACTCGAGCAAAGCATTCCAAATCTCCTCATGTTTATGTCTTTTATTTGTTTTGCCGGAAACGACTTTGCTTGTCTGTTTCTGATGAACAGATTTCGGGAAGGTTTTCAGCCTCATCATGAAAATATATTCCGTGGAATTAATTGCTGGAATTCATATCTCAAACGTAAGAAAATATTACTTCATAAGGGCATTTTAAAGCTCGCATTAGGAACAATTTTATGGCTATTTATGTGGTCGAATCCGCGATGATTTCCTGACCAATGATCCAATTTTTGTTTTCCCACGCGTCGATATAAAGAAAATATAGAGAAATGAGTGCCCAAAGAGCTATGTCCCACGTGATTAGTAAAATTTCCAAATACAGTCAACCCCCGTTAAACCGCCAACATTTGTGCAGCAGAATTTTGGCGGTTTAACGGGGTTGGCGGTTTATCGAGGGAAGGTTGAACCAGATAAAAAAAAAGGTTCTACCCCTGCCACCTCTGCTTCAACCTAGCTGATGAAAATTTTTTTCTCTGCTTTCTGGGGAAATTTTTCTTTATTACAAACATCTCAAAATTGGGTAAACCAATTAAATTTATGATCATGCTTCAAGAGAAAATGATTCAACCTTGATTAGGCTGGGTTAATTTTGGGTTGGTCAGACTCATTTAGAAGAGGTTAACTTAGAATATAGGTTGAAAAGTTCACCAATACTGTATTTTACAAAATGTTCCACAAAATCATTCCATGCAAAAAATTATTTGGAAATTTATCTAAGATATCCCTAAAATAGAAAAATGAGAAATGTCAAAATATTGAGTTGTAGGATAGCATGGGACTGAAGCTAGCAGGAATGGTTTTTGGTGGAAACTGGAGCATAGAATTGATCTGCTATGTCTCAATGGCAAAATTCATAAAGTCAAGATATCCCAAAAATAGATAAATGACAAAATATTGAGTAGTAGGATAGCATTGGACTGAAGCTAGCAGAAATGGTTTTTGGTGGAAACTGGAGCATAGAATTGATCTGCTATGTCTCAATGGCAAAATTTATAAAGGGAAAGCCATCAAATTTAAACATTCAAACCACAATAACAGTTGTATTCTGATGTGATAATTCACCTACAGTACTTGATCACTGTGTGATTTTTGCTTGAAAATCACTTGATCTGGTTTTTCTTACCCTGCCATCTTGGATTAGATCATGTGCTCAAATTTTACAACAGAAAGTTCCTGCAAGTTTTTGACTCATGCTCTCTTGTCCATCAATATTTTTTCCTTCATTGTTTGATTTTAAAGATACCTGAAGAGATTTTTTTTCAAGTTTTCTGAGAATTGCAGTCAATAAATCCACTAATTAATTTAATCCAAGTTAATTTAAAACAACCTACAAATTTCATTAACATTTTTGAAAATACAGAAGAAACCTATCTTGGTAGTTTTCCTATGACAAGAAGCACAGAGTTTAGGGGATAGATGTCCCCAATAATCAAAGGATACAGTTTTGCTTGGAGTGGAGATTTCTGCATGAGGGATATTTGTTTGCTCTATATTTTCACAGAACAGTTGCCCAAAATTTCAAGAGGGTGACAATGAAACAGTAACCCAGAAATTTATTAACAAAAGAAACTGAAGAGGAAACTTGGAGGGAGGGAAATGTTGGGATTTCCATAAATAAAAGGTGAGAAAAGGATGGTTGGGAAGATAAAAATATTGGTGAAAGGAAAGTCTGGGAAGGAAGAAGAAAATGGCGGTTTATAGAGGGAGAAAAACAATAGAGCAATCCAGTTTGACATGATAAAAATGTTGGCGGATGGCGGTTTAATGGGGTTTTGCCATCCCTTCAAGCTTGGGGAGATTTGTTAGGGACAAAATCTTGGAGGCAACCAAGGGTGGCGGTTTATCGGGGGGCGGTCTAACGGGGTTGACTGTATTGTACTTTGTACACTTACGAAAGACCTAGACAAAGGGACATAACCTAACTTCATCAAACCTAACCTTGATTTAAATAATATAATATAACCCCATACCAACTAAATTAACCTAACCCACCATCACATGTACATTAAAAATATAGCATATTGACGTATCCCAAGTGAATTAAACGAACCCAACATAAATTAGAAGGACATTACTGTACTATATTTTTTACTGATAGATTGAAAATTCAATATTATATATGCCGTATGTCACCTTGTCATACAAGTCGTCCCGGAAAGTACTGTGACAGAATCATTCTACTCAAAGTCACTCACTGAGCGATAAGGGATGAGTGCAGGTGCGATGGAGAAGGTTAGTGACGCAAGGAGCGATTATGTCCCATCGGGCCATCGCAATTTTGAGCATTCTTATTCGTGCGGTTTTCTATTCCGTTGTCGGTTCATTGTAAACTTCCGTTTTGAGGAGCTTCACAGATTTACACCCGGAGGATAGGCTAAATGAGAGAAGGCAATGAAGTTGAAATGTCCATGTGGCCTTGAGAGCGAATGTTTGTTTCGTGAAGTCATCTTCGATACTCTGAGCATGGGTTTGGCTGTACTACACAGAAATCGGACCTTGTCGTGATCAGTTTTAATCCCTATGCCCAGAAAGAAAAAGAAAAAATTTATTTTCTTCGAATATGAGTGCGTGATGAGGTAACTGATATAGGAAGGGGATACGTCTGGTATCGTGCGTGCGTGCGTGCATCCATGATACTGCAGTTCTTGAAAGCATTGTGCGTGAGTGTGCCGGTCGGATTGACATTCGTAGATACTGTCGGATCCATTGCCAAAGTTGATGGTACTTCGATGCAGCCTGTGCTGAATCCGAAACCTGGCTGTAGTGATTACGTGTTCTTGAACAAGTGGGCTGTCCGAAACTTTGAGCTTCATCGTGGAGACGTTGTCTCATTACGGTTAGAAATGTTCACAATTTTTTCCAGCATTTCCGCGAAATTTCACCTACCTGTATGTATGACGTGTAACCTATGTAGTACGTCAGGCATTGTTTTACCTTCTAGGTCATCTGTTTTTTCAAAAACTGCCACTCCGGTCATTTATGGAGCACTTTTCGTATAATAATGAGATTCTTTCGTAGGTCTCCGAGGGAGCCGAACGTTCACTTGATCAAGCGAGTGATAGGATTGGAAGGAGACGTTGTTACGACCAACGGGTATCGCAGATCTTTGGTTGACATCCCTCCTGGGCATTGTTGGTTGGAGGGAGACCATACTGGACATTCCGTTGACAGCAATTCCTTTGGGCCAGTGAGTACCCAATTTGTTGTTTTGTTCGGAAAGTGGCTTCCCCATAGCTTTTTTACGCTGATTTTAAGGGTCTGCAAAACGGTTTTTATACTACGGCGCCTCGAAATAAACAGGATGACTGATGATCGACAGTCATCCTGATACCCAATTCTTATCTTCATGTACAGTACTGAGTACCGTCGGACCTCTCTACGTAGAATTTGAAAACACCCATAATGAAAATTGACTTGGACAGGTTTTGAGTTGATAGGAAGGTTAGGGGAAATAGGTCTAAACATGCTTGGTGTAAATTTTATAAGAAGTAATTTGGGCTGAAATTTTCGCTGAAGCCGTGTGGAGGGTGTTCGAAAGCAATTCTTCAACTATTCCCACTGCAGAAAAAGGCTAACCACAGGAAACCGCAGTATAAATGAGTCTACAGGATGCAGACTCCAAGCCAGGGTTTTATTTACCAATTAAAGTTGCTAAGTTTCCTTTCCAAAGGCATTACCATTTATTTCCTGTCCTTCCTTGTCTTTGGACAGGGACTGGGAAACCATTAGGTTAAACAGGTTCGCGTTGAAGAGGTCCAACTGTATTTTGTAGAATTTTTTTCCTTCATTCCGCACGAATTGACGAAGTAACACCAGTCAGGATCATAACGCAAAATTGCCAAGGTCAGAAAATATTCTTATCAAAAGAATTTCAGATATAAAGCGCCGTTCTTAAACATCTAATTTTTCAATTATTTGGTTAAGCTTGACTCACTTGCAAATTTGTCAAGCGCGCCAATCTGGTTTGAGTCTTTCTTCCTTAAATTATGATTGCTTTCTCAACTGTCTTCCTTTCATTTAATTTTAAAAGTGTGGAAGATTGGAGCAAAACCAAGGGTAATATTATTCGATTGAAATCACTCCAACTTGAGAATATCTTGGAGTGGAAAATCAACGTGATAGAAGAGTATTGTCGTGTGGATGTGATCTAACATTCCAACTAACCAATCTGCTGTAAAATTCTAGGTGGCCGTGGGGATGATATTGTGCAAAGCGACAGCAATAGTGTGGCCACCAGACCGTTGGCAACGTTTGGACTCTAAGATCCCCGAAGGTCGCGCTCCAGTGCACAGTGATTAGTCGTGATGGCCCGAACCGTGAGCTTCGTCGGCCGCTTCGATCTCAAGATCTCTGGTGTCGTGTTCCGCTCTGCCATGACATTCGGCGATGTGGACAACGACGGTGAGAATGAGCTCATTGTCGGCACCAACTCCGGCTTTCTTCTCATCTATAAAAACTCACTCACGAAGCCGTGGAAGAAGGCGCTTGAACTCGGCATTGTGGCGGCTGTAGCCGTGGGGGATGTGTTTCGCGTCGGGAGAAACCACGTAGTTGTCATTAGTGCGGATGGGGTGTGCAGCATTTTTGACGCTCATGTCGCGGGGGTCAAAGGAGAACACAACTCCTCATCGTGCGAGTTGATGCGGCCGTGTTACGTCCAAAGAATCCAGGCAAATGTCCAAGAAGCGCTGCTGGTGGACACAACGGGAAATGGGCATGTGGAACTTGTGGTTTCGCTGACTGACCGGGTCTTGAGGACATACCGTTGGGCTCCGAGTGGGCCTGAACAGTCGGAATCGTCGGCTTCTGTCTCTGGAACCATCTCGAGTTCTCTGGGCACCGACACGTTGGATGTTGGTAGTTGTGGTGATGGGCATGAAGAGATCGTGGAAGAGAATAAGAAAGAGGGGGATCTTGAGCCAGCCGAGGATGATGAAGAAACGGTACGGTTTAGTTCATCATTGTACCTTAGCAGACATTCAAAGGTGGACTTCCTCTCCTTAAAGAAATTTAAGGGGACCAGAAAAAAATCGATGTAGAGAACTCCTATGTTCCTACAAGATGCGTAGTGAGACCATGAGACCAAACACAAATTTGTTTTACGGTGAAAATCGTTGTACAGAGTCTACCTTTAGAATCAATCTCATGCTCAACTGAATATTTCTTTTGATAATTTCGAAAGCATGTTGTTACTTCTTCTTGATTGATTACATTAAAATACAAAATCATGCATATTCGTGTTTTTAATTGAAGATTCTCGTAGCGTAATATCTCGTGTTTTCCATATTTTTCGATTAATCATGTCAAAGTTTGACACATGTCGTCATCGTGGCAGCATTTATTGATTGAACTGTTCTAATACTGCAGCGAAAAATCGGAGAAATCCTCGGTAACGAAAGGAAGAAACAAAAATTTTCGCCGGAAGTCCAATTTTAGAAGAATGCTTGAATGTGACGAAAACTCATCTTGATATTGACGCCTCAAATGTTCACAAGTACATTTGAAAAGAGCAGAACTTGAGTATTTTACTGTGTAGTGGTAACACAAGCTTTATGTGTATGTCGACATCCTACTAATAATATGAAGCAATAAAGATATTTTATTGAATACTGCGAGTACAATGTTTGGAAAGTAGAATGTTTCTTTTTAGTTTTGTTTAGATTTTTAAGCGAAATTGATCAAAGAGCGAAAGGGAATCCGCACAGGGTTCATGTTGATTGGGAGCGCTAGAAATAATTTCCTTTGATTGATATAATTTTTCTGCCATAAAGCGAGATTTGTACGTTTATGTTCACGAGTTTGAGCGGAGTAAGGAACCAAAAACAATCTGCACTAGTGACTTATTCAGCTAAACAATTCCATGGTTTGATTCCACTTTAAAATATGTCGCACCTCTGGAAAATATAGCGAACTTTATCATGGATTATGCTTTGAGATTGAACAAGATGTCTTGTTCATTTCTTGATGATGAAGACTTGTAAAAATCTGTCTTGTGCAACGAATCAGTGTTGATGTTCAACAAAAGTCTATGTTTTTGATGGAAGTATTCCAAGTCATTGAACAAGAGAAAAAACATTTGATTCGACAAAATTTCCATCAGCTACATCTAAAGCCTTGACAATGGTTCAGGTGAAGTTACATTTTGGCAAGTTTGGCTTTTTCCTACTTGGCTTTTTACATCGGCAAGTTTCATGTCTTTAATGGAAAGTGGCAAAGTACTTTTACATTAGTTGCGTATTTCAGCCGAACTTCTAGTTTCTTCATATTTGGGTCACTTATTACGCAGGAGGAACACTTCAGGTCATCAGCAGTTTTTCTCCATTCATGATGTGCTTTTGATAGGTCTCACCTCCAGTGGAACAGTTAGACGACCCAGAAGACGACGACTCAAGCGAAGAGGATGACAGCGGCTTGATGAAAGGGCATTTATCTGGCATATACAAGTGGGACTTGGGCTGTCATCTGAACTCGTACACCGTGCATCACGACAGCGGAGACTCCGAGGATAATTATAGGAACGAACCCGGATCATTGTTGCTGGCCCAGCCTGGGGGAGAGTTGCTGAAGATCGATCTGAAAGCTGTTGGACCAAAGGACGCCACTCCACGTTCTTCGCCGCCAGAAGAGAAGAGCAATGAGGGAATGTGAGTTTTCTTCCCGATTTTCGTGTTCAAGTTCTCTCGATAGGTTTTTCTAGCGTTCAGGTGTTCAAATATAAATCGAATCTCGGACGAACAGGTGAGAATATGCTACAGGTGGAAGGATTTCATCTAGGATTAGGTTCGGGTATTTTCAATTTAGCTTTACTGCAATGGCTTTTATCTATCCCGGTGCAAATTCCTAATAATAACAAAGAAATAGGGACACGTTCATCAAATGTTTTTCACGATAATAATGGTACGGAACGCATTTAGCAGTTCCCGGCGTGATAGTCATTAATATGATTAACGTGTTCGGTATTTATTTTGTATATTCACAGCTCAAATAAAACTTGAATTTATGCTTGTTTGAGCCACTTTTGAATACTATATTTGAAAGATAAGGCTTCAAAATCCGAATATGTTTTTCCGTCGATACGTGTATTCCTACGGATTCCTTGGTGATGGCTTTATAATAATATTCTAATTATTTTGATTTTTTATGCCTCGCCATTTTGATTCCAAGAATATTTTACAGTGTATTTTTTGAAAGCGTCACTTTAAATTCTAAACAACGCGAGTTTTTACCTTGAAATTTCACTGTTGATAGTTGTGCGAGGTGTGATTATTTGCATATCTCTCGAGGGATAACAAAAATTTATTAATATATCTTCCTCCTCTCTCAAACGAAATACAGTGCAGTATTAAAGAAATCTGAAGAACTTGTTGGAAACGCATCTTTCGAAAAATCACGAAGTTCGTCTAAAAGATCCGGACGGTAGACGCGTTATTCCGAATAGAAGTACTGTATATAATTCCGTGGCTCTTTATATTTTAACTTGGTTGATCTGATTTGAGAAATTTATAGCAAGCTTCATGTGGGGATCCCGTTTCCTGGTGGAATATTCTTGTACAGTATCTTCCAAGTTCAGTCCACTTTCTTGCTTCAGATGTAGTTGTTGAAGTCATAACTTGAAATTGAAAAATTCATACAATCCTGCGAAGAGGAGAAATGGCGCAATTGGAGAAGTCGCGGCCCAATTGGAGAAGTCGCCTAAATTGTGGCGATTATCAAAATTTAATCTTTCTGGCACATTTTGTGTGTGTAATGTAGATTGCATCGGAAATTTTTCCGTATTGAAATGAATATTTGTTTCTCTCGACTCTCCTATAAAAAATTTTTTTTTTTCAGGGAGTCGGACGATAAAGTTGTGTTTCAGTCCGTACCCCCGCCGGTGAGGATTAAGAACCAGCAAGTTTCCTGCGTTGTCCTGGGCGACATTCGTCTTCCTCATCCCTCTGGCACTGGAAATTCCTTGAACTTCTGCATTGCAACTCTGGAGGGCAGCTTGATTCTTCTTCATGACAACCGGGAGCGCTGGTAATTCTTTTTTGTTCAAATGCGTGTTGGACCGAATCATCTTCAAAGAAATCAATTATCGTACAGTATTTACGGAAAGCCTGTTTGTAGCGGGTTTCGTTAAATTCTTCATTTTTGGGAGTATTCCAGGTCATTTTCCCTTGATTCGGTCGTATGGCCAAGTTTAACCTAATTGAACCAACTTGCTGAAGTTATATTTACGATACTTATTGAGCAAGGTTACTTCTTGTGGAAAAAGGTGGTTATTTTTTCGAGTGGAATAACTACCTATGACAGTATTCGTTCTTCCATGTGGAAGCTGCCTCTTCTATAATGTAACAGCCGGTGTAGTGTAGTGACACTGAGTTTTATTCTCTACGTACTTCTGCTAGTCACGACACCATCGGACTTGCATTTTCACCAGAATGAACGCATTTATAATCAAAATTAATGTAACCCTATCCTATCTGGATGTTATAACTGCTTCTCTATTCCTCCTTTGTTTGGAGAAAATTATCTAAGTTGACAAAGCGTTGAAGAACTGGGATGTTGAGATCCGTGCAGGAAGATTAATGGAGCCGTCCCGACAGAAAGCCCAAAGAGTACTTGTTGACACAATTTTGTTATAACAAACTTCCGAATTTCAGTGTAATAAAATTTCTTCTAGGAATTTTTAATGCAATCTCTTGGTAGAAATTTCCTGACCGCGAGAGGCATAATCCGAAATTTTTGATCCCAGATGTGACTGACTGATTCTTGTGGCATGGATGAAAGCTGTAATCAATTACAAACATGTCTCCAAGTCGTCCCACACAACATACTCCTAGAATGAAGATCTTTCCACAGTATCCTCCCAGGATGAAGAGATTGGTACAACCAAAGTACTGTAATCCATGATTGAAGCTAATTTTAAAAGAACATTCAGTTTTTCTAGCAATACCAACAATATTAGAATGCCAGAAAAGCAAGATCTAATTGATTATGGGCTGGCAGGTCTGATGTGAAAATTGGTTCCTGTCATTAATTTTGAAAATCTCATTATAACAAGTACTGTAATTCAGTATACACTATACAGTACAGTAATGAAACTTTTTCTGAAGTTCCTATACAGTGGTTTGTTGCTGCAAGATTTAACTGTAGTGTACCGAATCTTCTGACATTAGGGAAAAATGAATAGAATGTATTCATGGTAACTTCACATGGCTCACATTTCAACCAGATAACCCAACCCATTCAGAATATACGGCATAATGGAAAAATGTTTCTTGTCCTGATGATGTTGGATATGTTCGAAGCAGTCTTGCGGTTCTCATCCGTCTATATGATGAAAAATTAGTACGAGGGCGTCTTCAACGAGGAAAATCAGCCGTTCTGACCGAGAAAAAGATGATACCCGTAAGGAGTGATAAATTTCTAATTTTCAATTGTTCGCGGGATTCATAAATGCGAAGAAATACATTAAATCATGTTTTGAAACGGAGCATTTGCGACAACAAAAAAACTGGGAAAAGGTTTGAAGTTTTCTCAGATAAATTCTACATCTTCAGGCATGTTTCCGTGGAGGACGAGCTATTCGCTGTGAGCAAACTGGACATGACGGGCGATGGGAATGACGAAATTGTGGCGTGTTCTTGGAGTGGCACCACGTACATCTGGAACCACAAGAAGGAATGTGTTCGGTTTGTGTTTGGCGAGCCCGTGTGTAATTTCATTGCCGGCAAATTCGGACCCGAACATCGCTCCTGCTTCGTATTCAGCTCGTTTCGGAACAGACTCCACGTTTATCCGAATATCGAACTGCGCCACTTCGTCGTCCGGACCCTGGGAGACATGGTGAGGATCTTCGCTCTCAGGGGTTCAAATTTTTGTCCTTCTTAGGGAACACCCTGGGAATTCAGCCGGGAAACGCATTACAGTATTTCCTTGCAGTGGTTGAGCGTGATTTCATTCTTTTGTAGCGAAAAACACCGTATGTATTCGAATACCACGCACACCTTTGTTCTCAAATTTTACGGAAAAAGAGGGGTACGCGTCAGAGGCGGATATACATTTTTCAAAAAGCATCGTAAATTTAGGTGTGCATTATACAGTACTTCATTCTAATGGGAGACTTGGAACCAAATTTTAAAGAAAAGCATGTTTCATTTGAAAATTTTTGAAATTAGTCTAATCCATGTCTGAATTAAAATTTGGGTGCTTTCATTCTTAAGATACAGTCAAACCGCTCTTAAGTCGAATTTCAAGTGTCGAGCATTAAAGTTCCAGATCGGGGAAACATACAATTTTGTTGTGGGAAGTACTGTGGAAGGACTGCAGGAAATTGTTAATGGTGATAATCCGGGCCTTGAATTGATTCTTCAATGAGTTGACAGGATGCTGAACTTGTAGGCAGTGGTTTACTTGCCCAATTAGCCTTTCACTTCATTTAAAAACACATCAATTTACTTTTTATTGCTTCTCTCTTTCTTGTGTCAAGAAAATTGTAGCCAGTAGGCCTCAGATAATTCGAGTTATGGAGCTTTGAAAGGAAATGACTTTGAGCCAAATACGTTTTAATGCGTTGATTTTGATGGAATTCAGACAGTGGCCCGGAAAGAATTCAGCCTGGGGAGGATCAACTGTATTGCAGTATGGAAGTCACTAAGAATGGGGTGCGCGTCTTACTCAGCGAGGGAATTCTGTAAAAATATTCCAGTTAAATATCCCAGTGCCCGTCTTCTTCGAAGGTGCGTGGTCTTCGAGTGAATTACGGCATTTGTCCATTCCCGGTGCTGTCAGTTGTTTGTCCCTGTGATGAGGTGTTTTTTAATTGCGTGCCCAGTTAAGATAACTCATGGCCAAAACATTTGCTGCACGATTACAGTTGGCCCTGCCCGCTTGGAGCCACATTCGGAATGCCTTGGCGACGACAGTGAGCAACAAAGATGCCTCAGTAGAACCAAGTGATGCCGGTGCAGACACGTCGTCAACCAAGAGACGTCCCTCGGGTGACGCACCAAGCCAAGAATTGTATTCACCCGGCTGCCTAGGGTCTCACGGACAAGGAGCCACTACCAGAATCGGATTGTTGAGGCAACCACCGGAATTCCCGGGAAAGCTGAGTTTGCACGCGGGCATTGTCAGGGGACTGCTCTACAACCGACCACAGTGGAATTCTGCTGTGCATGAGAAGAATTGCTCGCGGGCACCCAAGCTGGAATGAGGCAGTCGTGACCTGAAATAAATCGAGCTTGTCGTGGCTTCCTTCTCTCGTGTTGTCTAGTTACCGTATACGGCATCACGTGGGCACGTCTGTTTCGCTGCCAAAGGTTGTTGTCTTCGGATTGAGCAAGTTGCGTTGCCCAGCACTTGCCTGCTGCTCTTTCTTGCCTGAGGAGTGCCATGTTATGTGAATCGGGAATAGACAACATATCACGTGTTGGCAGATGAAGACGACCGCAGCCGAGATTCCGACGTGCAATAGTTGATATTTTGTAGAATGAAATTGATGATTCAAATGCAGAGTGACTGGAAATCAGTCTGATTTTCTGCTACTTTCGTCGTCTTGATTTGCTTGTGCGTAACATTAAATGAAATACTGTACTTGGGATTACCCAAGTAAGTATTCTATATCCTCCTTCAACACATGTCTGCTGCAATCGTCGAGGATGTAGGACAGTTGAGTTATGATTAATCAAAATCATCTGTACTGAATCCGAGTATCTCGGCTGGCGAAAAATTATTAAACCGAAAATACATAGCCCTGATGATGAACTGACGCGATGATTTACCTTGTTATTTAAATTTTACCTTTGAAAGTGTCAGATGATTTTCTTAGGCCAACTTTTGCTGCATATTGCGTATTGATGCATTCTACCATCCGTGAGTATTATGTCCTTAAGTATTTATATGATTGGAATTGGGTCAATCGGCTCAAGAATTATATTTATTTTCAGCAAGAGGGCTCGGGTTACATGGCGAATGTGCCAAAATTCTTCATCTTTTCGCTGCTGTGCCGCGTGCTTTTCTTCCTTTCGGTCTTCGAAATACACTTCAAGTCGCCGATCATTCATGGAATTACTGATGTCCAAGTCGACTGGATTTCGGCGGAGCCACGTGCCAAGCGGATTGTGATATTCATAGCCGACGGGCTGCGGTATGACAAATGGCAAGAATTCATCACACTTCAGCCCAGCAGATTTTGGGCTCGTACTTCGAAAGGAGATCATTGCTCGGTGGGTATATCCAATACACGCGTTCCGACCAAAACCCACCCCGGGCATGTCGCGTTACTGGCTGGAATTTACGAAGATCCGAGCGCTGTTTTTCGAGGCTGGCAAGACAATCCAGTGGACTTCGATTCCGTGCTGAATAAAAGCTCGACTTCTGTTTCCTGGGGTGCTCCCGACGTTGTGCTGATGTTCAGAAAGGGCGGAGCGGAGAGGCATTCAAAATTCTACGCATATGATCACGACACCGTAGATTTTGCCGAGAAAAATGCATCTTTTACCGATGCTTGGGTTTTCAATGAAGTTCAAAAGTTTTTCGAATATGGTGGTGAATTTCCCGCGTCACATCAGCTCTTGCATTTTCCTCTTGCATCTTCTCGGAATGGATCTAGTCGGCCACAGCAAGAAGCCGCACTCGAAAGATTATATGGACTGTCTGACTTTCGTTGATCGATGCATAAAACAAATGGTTCAGTTGTTCCAGAAAATTTACCCGGATAATCGGACCGTTTTTCTAATCACAGCTGACCATGGAATGACGGATTGGGGATCCCATGGATCTGGTAGTGATGCGGAAACTCATACGCCTCTAATGATCTTCGGGGAACCTTGGGCTACAACTTCAGAGCTTTTCGTGAATCAAGCTGATATTGCTCCAACCATATCAGCATTGGTTGGCAATCCACTTCCTGTTAATCCAGTGGGATTCGTCCCATTCACAAATTTTAGACATGCGTATGGTAAAACCCTATGCCGTAAAAGTTACGCTGACGAATGCACTCCAATTATTGAGCCAGGTGGAAGCGTTGGAACAGATGCAGGCTTCAAGCATTTCGTATCGCAGTTTTCCATTTCGTGAGTTGGAAGATCGACAAGACAGAATTACACGTATCAAGGTTTTCATTAGAAGTTCAAATTTTGAAAAAGCTGTAATGGAAATTATTTCGCTTCGTTCCTTGGCCGCCGAAGCATTGGAATACTATCAGTTTCTGCGGAAGCCCGCGATGATGCTTTCTTTGCTGTGCAGCTATGTAATTTGGCTCGGGATAGTTTATAATTGCAAAGCGTGGCGTTCGTTGGAATTTTGTTCAGACGAACAGCTTTATCCGGGTCCAATTGCGGAGAAGTCGCCCGATTTCCGTCAAATACGTCGACCTGTGTTCCTCGTCATCTACGCGTTACTTGCTTTTTTTGGCACCGGTAACTTGGCCAGTATCAACAGTTTCGACCCAACAGCAGTGTACTGTTTCGTCACCATATTTGGGAACTGACAAAATCCCGACCGGGGTGATGCCGACGCCGCGCATCGCCTGTCTTTCCTTGGTTGGACATTCCCATACGTATAGGTTATGTTAGATTGGGTGAGGTTAAATTCAGTTAGGTTAGGTTAGGTTCTGTTAAATTCAAGTAGGTTAGGTTATGTAGAATTATGTTAGGTTAGGTTAGGTCAAGTTAGGTTAGGTTAGGATAGGTCAGGTTAGTTTAGGTGGGCTGTAAACCTTTTTCATCATTTGTACAGGGGAATGTCCATCCAAGGAAAGACAGGCGATGCGCGGCGTCGGCATCTCCACAGTCGGGATTCGGGAATATGTATGTGCCCCCATATTTTCGCCGTTCGTGATGACTGCTATTGCTGATCAAGATTATGATTCCAGTACGCTTGGTGATGCTCACGTTTTCTTCTATATCCGCGGGCAAAAACAATTTTCTCATTGTGATGTAATGTCCTTGCTATTTTTCTGTTCAGTGAGGGCCACGGGGTCGTGGCTAGATATCGGGACCTCAATATCGCACTACGTGATTTCCTTGTCTTTAACTTTGTTTTTGCTTGTGTTGCATCAAGGTTGCATGCGACTGACAGGCTTTTGGGAGTTGAAACAACACGCTGCATGAATTCTGTGCGTTATTCATTTGAATGATTGTGAGGAAGATCTTTTGTCTTCCTTACGTCGTGGTCTTGTAATCGAACAGATGTTTTCATAACCTTCTCATATTCCTAGAAGTGTGGAAAATTAGCTTCTATTGGAAATGCCTGCCACGTTTCCATTTCTGCAAGTTAAATTCATCTGGTATTTATCCTAAATCGAGCAGCCAAGAGAGTTTGGCTGTGTTAGTTTTAACTTTAAAAATCTTGGAAGTCATTAATATTCCTATTCCGCCGTTTGCGAGGGAAAACGAAATTATTTTCGCAAAAGAGTTCTTCGCTAGAACTGCTGGGTGAGTTGAAGTTATTTGTATGACTGCACTAGATTATTTAAACTTTTATATAGACTAATTTCATAAGGCTTGAAAACCGAAATTTTTCGGGAACATTTTTGCTATGAAAAATGGAAAAGGCGCAGTTGTGGAAAAGATTCTTTTATTTAATTTCAATTACTGTATATACTATACTACCGGTTTTTTTAAACTATATTTCACATACCCTGCAAAATCCAAAGCGATCAATAGGGTGATGACTTGATATACCTGTTATTTCTCCTTACATTTGGAGGTTGGCAGAAACTTGAATAATCATGCTACGCCAAGATATTTGTAATTGCGACCCACTCCTGTGAACTGGGACATAATGATGCGGATTTCATGAGAAAAATGTTTTTCCAATGAGTTGCACACTTCAAATACGTGATACAATGCTGCAGTGATAGTGTTGATACTGTGCGGTGACGTAGCACAATTTGAATATTAAACTTTTTTCCTTCAGTTTGTGTTTGGATTACAGTTCATCAAAGTTATTTATACATCTTACCCTGCTTCCGAATTTATATGATTGTTTCGTGCATCTTTCACTACGCCCAGATAGTGATTTTCAGCGAAGAATATTTTGGATTCATTGCAGTGTCCTTGTCCTTCTTATTTTTTAAGATGAAGTTTCCTACGAAATGAATGCGTGGTTGCTGCATGTGTTGGTTCTTTGATTCTGTATTTTAAATGTACTTTTCGAACCGAACATTACGTGCTAAGATAGTATACTGTATAAGGAAACCATCAGGCTTGTGTTTCATCCTGAACGTTTCCAGCGCTTTTCAAATTAAAATTCATCTGGAATAGGCTTTTATCATTTATTTTTAATTCTTGTTCGAGCTACTGCTGTGCTGTGCACTTATTTTCTGTCTTGTTACTTAAGCAGGATATCACCCATTTATGCTGGGTAAAGCCAGTTCACAGGTGCGATGGAGTTCTATACGGTTGTGTAGTGCTTAATTTCCGATCGTTCGATGTGGATTGCGCGCTGTGTGATCGAGAGGGGATGGCAATTCGCGGTTGTTTTTCAGATGATCTTTATTCTTGCGTTTGTGACTGCAGATACTCCTGTGTTGCACGGTACAGTATAATGAAGCGCCTATAGCGATTGTATTGATGAAACTGCTCTGTTGTCATGGGACGCCTCGAAATTGTGCCGTGGAAAAGCTCTTTACAAGGAAAAGAATATCGTTTGTCATTCGTCCAGGCAGGTAATAATTCGTCGCAGTAGCATTCCATTAATCTTGGACTCTCAGAGGAGCTTTTTTTTTTCTTGGCTGCGGTTGTAGGACTATTTTTAGTTCCTGCCTCGTGATTATTTCGGGCGAGGTTTTGTCTGGTGTTCATTTGTAGCGCACCTTGCCTAGTTACCGACACGAGAAGCCGCATGTGTTCGGGGAGTGATCGCGCAGTCGCCCGGCCGGTGTTGGATGGCTTGGACCACTGCGTGAACCCGAAAATTCGTTGGGGGAATATTGTGCGTGTAGTTCTAGTCGTGGCGTGAACCTGTTATCTCGAATTTCCGTGTGCTTGATACATTTTTTTTCCGCCGAATTAATTTAATCTTTGTTAGCAGTGCCTGCTCGCGATGAACCTTGTGACAATCGACTTCCATTAAAAGAATTAGCGTCGGTGCGATTTCCTTCACTTCATGAATTATTTTGACTGGCTTTTAGTGACAGCCTTGAATGCCTTTTTTCTGAGAATTTTTCATCTACGATTCTGTGTACTGCATGTGCTTCCGAGAATTTTTCATTGATTATACGTACTGTATGTGCTTCCGTAAATGTCTCATTTAATGTAAGCCAGCCCGTCGATGCTGTACTATGCTCTGCTAATGTAACGAAAGTTTGTGTCCGGTTGTCGAAGCTTTGCGTTTGGCCCATTGATTTCGATGCAACGAAATGCTACTTCTTTCGTGCAATATGAAACAGCCCTTAATCCAGCTTCAGGTATTGTATCCAGTCAACTCATGGTGAACCACGGAAGCGTGATGACTGTGCAAATTCCCGATGCATTGATAGTTTTTGTGACGATCGAACTTCTGTTTGCAGGTACAGTATAATCGTAAGGATCAAGTCCTTTGCAATTGTTGTTCCTGTATTTCGTGGAAACTGTGTGTGTGGATCTGAATCTGTGTGAAGCGAAACAATATGGGAATTTTTTGCCGATCCAGTAGCTACGCGAAGTTGGCGCAGACCATTGCCCTCAGGCGTGCGGCCGTCCCGGTGAGTTTCGTTAAAGTTGAGCACATGCAGTTTTCTTGCATATCTTCTCTTGTTTTCAGCTTCCATCGTGGCACGCGGAATATCATTCTGTATGTCGACCGCGTTAATGAAATCTTATCGCAGTTCGATCATTATGTTGCCATTCTAAAGATCGTATTTTCTGGACTAATTTTAGCATTCGATATAATTCAAAAGCATGATTTTAATTCGACTGTAACTAATGCCGTGCGCGGCACCGTACTTCGATGGTTTCGTAAGAAAGGTATGAATACCCAGATCTTGTTCTAATTTCCTCCAGTCAGTCACGTCTGTTTGCGAACGACTCCAGTCAAGTGCCGCCGTTGTGAGCGAACCGAAATGGACCGAAATTTATACCACAAATCCGATCGACCACAATGAGTCTACGTTCAGCAAGATCCTCATCGCTAATCGTGGTGAAATAGCATGTCGTGTTATGCACACCGCCAGGCGCATGGGTATCAAGACGGTCGCAATCCATTCCGACGTGGACTCTAATTCGGTAAAATATTATTCAACTGGAGATAGTATGTCCCCGGGAATTAACGTTTGATGGTTGGAAATGGTGTACTTCCTAGTTGTTTGTGCGGATGGCGGACGAAGCCGTCTGTGTTGGCAAGGCTCCAACGAGCCAGTCATATTTGAATGTTGATGCCATTCTCAGGGCCATTGACTCCACGGGCGCGGAAGCTGTTCACCCTGGTTACGGATTCCTATCGGAGAACACAAAGTTCGCTGCGATTTTGGTAAAATATTTCTCTCATCTAGTCGTTTGCGAGTTCCCCTCTTCATGTGCAAAGCAGAAATCTCAATGCAGCAGCATTGTATGGAAGTGAAACCCTGGAACGTTGCTTCTGTTTGAACCCGTTTTTGTCTTTGAGGAAAGCTATTCTCTCAACAATCTTATGATTTCGATGCCTCTGTGGGAATCATTCAAATACCGCTTTTCTTCGCATAGTGTAATTGCCGGAAATCTCGGATTGTACTCGTGTCCTATTGATCTTGATCAGACGCCGGAGCAAAAATTATTTCAAAATTATGAGCGAATAACTTGCGATTGATTGTAGGTGGCAGAAATTATTAAATGTTCAATTAAATGCTCTACCATTGATGAGACGATCTGCATGATTAACGTTCCAGACGTTGCGGGATTCCCTTGGCATGATTTCGATTTCATGCTGTGAATAAATTTGTTTCCTACTTCAGGAATCGAAAGGGGTGAAATTCATTGGCCCAAATTCAGACGCTATCATCAAAATGGGCGATAAAATTGAGTCCAAGCGTCTTGCGAAGGGAGCTAACGTCAGTTTTATCCCGGGCTACGATGGGGAAATCAAAAGTGAAGAACATTGTATCGAAATATCAAAGAAAATCGGGTACCCGGTCATGATCAAGGCATCTGCTGGCGGTGGTGGCAAAGGTATGCGTATCGCGCGAAACGACAAAGAGGCGCGTGAGGGTTTCAGGTTGTCTCAGCAAGAAGCGAAGTCAAGTTTCGGCGATGATCGAATGCTTGTGGAGAAATACGTCGTTGATCCAAGACACATTGAGGTGCAATTCATGGGTGACAAGCACGGAAACGCCGTTTACTTGAATGAACGCGAATGCTCGATTCAGCGGAGGAACCAGAAAGTTATTGAAGAAGCGCCAAGGTTAGATTGCATTTCCGATTCAGTCGTTCGCAGTTTACAAAAAAATTTCCACGTTCAGTTTTTCCTATCCTCCTCTCCTGATTTTCTCGCGGTGCGAGAGAATTTGATTTATTCGTCTTAATTTTATCGTAGTGACCTTCTCCAATCTTGTCAGCGCGAACGAATGATTCGGCATGTTTTCTTGCATTCCGTGATCTTCTTGAACTATTATTCTACTTTCAGTCCCTTTGTTGATCCGGAGATGAGGAAGCGAATGGGAACGCAAGCAGTTACCCTTGCCAAACATGTTGGTTACGACTCAGCCGGTACTGTTGAATTTCTTGTTGACAACGACAAGAATTTTTACTTCTTGGAGATGAACACTCGTCTTCAGGTCAGCCGTTCGGTTGTGCATCGCTTGTTGAATATAGTTTTTATGGAATCTCTTCTCAAACAGGTTGAGCATCCCATTAGTGAGTGCATCACAGGTATTGATCTCGTCTACGAAATGATCCGTGTGGCGAAAGGCCATCCTTTGAAAGTCACACAAGATCAGATGCCTCTTCGTGGTTGGGCTATTGAATCTCGAGTATATGCCGAAGATCCTTCCAAGAACTTTGGTCTTCCTTCTATTGGACGTCTGTCAAAATACCGAGCACCTTCTCACATTGATGGCGTAGGTATTTGTTCTACCAATTCAAGTACGCGAATGCATGTGTAAAATTTGAACTCATGTTTTGATAAAGTCAATGATATGAGAAAAGATCTAAGTTTGAGTGAGAAAACGTTCATACTCATGTTTTAGCATTATGATATCTGCTAATCGGTCGGGTCATATATTGATTTTTTTGACCGAGATTATACGAAAATTTCTAAGGGTATATTCTAGGTTTGAGCTTATGGATACGTGAGGGATGCGGAAATGCGGTAAGAAATCGGAAGAGTCGAAAATGCAGAAATCGAGATTGGGAGGCTATTTGTATTCTTGTCTTTTAATGAAGCTTCTCAGCAATTGTGCTTTCAGTTCCAAAATTAGACCGACATTGTTTGTTCCACGCGCATAGGAAAATTATGTATAGACGTGATTTTTAGTCCGTAATCAATCAGAGACCGATCATTATTTGTCTTTTAAGGTAATTTTAAAAAGATGTTTTAATCTTCGTGTATTACATTAAATACTGTACTATACTGTATTATGAAGTTTCAGCTGTATGTACACTATTTTAAATGCTTTTTGTTATCATGACTACGAATTTAAAGTGGTAGTGCTGATGTTCGAAAGTGTATTTGAAATTTTACGAAGAAGATTTTGCTTCGGTCAAATTTTTGTGGCTGTGCCATAGATTTAGTATGGAGTGTCGTTCGGAAGTCCGTTCATTGTCATGTTTCAATTTCCTGCCTTTTTCATTTCAGGTGCGGTGCGACTCCGGCATCGAGGAAGGGTCTGAAATCAGCATTTACTACGATCCGATGATCTGCAAATTGATCACATACGGGAAAACTCGAGCTGAGTGCATTGAAAAGCAAATTCAGGCCCTTGACGACTACGTTATTCGAGGCGTGACCCACAACATTCCGTTGCTGCGGGACATCTTCACTGAGAAACGCTTTTGCTCAGGAGACATCAACACAGGCTACTTGCCTTCCGTGTACCCGGACGGTTTCCAAGGCAAATCTTACACTCCGGCTGAGAAGAAGGATTTAATCGCAATTTCTGCTGCCATGCATGCCAAGGACGCGCTGCGAAGCGGAAAATTCATCAACGCTGAAGAGCCCACCATCAAAGCAAGGGAAGAGTACCTTTTGACGGTACATCTTGCTGACGAGCAAGCGCACTGCCTGGTCAAGTGCAAGCCAGGGGCATTCGATGTGAGTATTCCACAACTGGTTTGATTTTATTTTGCATTCATTTTCTGCGAGCGTGAAATTTCCTGGAAACTAGTCCCGTTGTAAATTTTGTGTCGAGTCCGGATCTCCGTAATTGAAGGCACCGAAACATACTCCATTGCAGAAGTAGTATTTCGTCAACGGACAAGTGGTAGGAAGGAAGGTGACGAGATACGTAACGTGAACGGGACGTCATGCGCTCGATTAGTGACGTTTTAAAAACTGGGCTAATTTGCCTTCTTCGTGGCTATCAACCATACGGTCATACTGATACATTTTTTGGACACCCTCCATGTGGAAGACATGAGACACTTCTATCTTAGACACTGATACAGATGGTGATAGTGCCATTTTATTTGCGAGTAGAACGTGTTCCGCTGTGGTGCGATACTCGGATGTAGCCGTGGACAGCATTGCATGAATAAAATCCCCATGCACGCCACGATTGAATATTATTTTCGATTGGAAGCTCCCTTTCTGGAGATGATCACTAAAGTAATGGACATTTTCACAAATGAAATTTTACTGTCACAAGTAACTCTGCAAATGAATCAGGAGGGAACTGTTTTTCACTGTGCAGACAGTTGCACAATTGTGACGAGTGCTAATTGATTGAGATAAAAGGACCCGACTTGGAGGGAGTTTTTCACCAAATCGGTAAATAATCTTGACATCCTGAACTTACGGGCTGTTCAATTTTTAAATTATTTCCTCCTCAATTCTGTGGTGTTGGTGATGTACGTACGAAACCAGAGAACCAATCGGGAATGATACTCAGCACACCTTGCTCAATATTGCGGAGATTCGAAAATTTTTCTGAACTTCGGGTACTAAAATCGGCAAAATCCAGAAGCTCGGGTGATAACTTGTGTAGATGATTTCGCAGGGGAAATTTTTTTAAACTCTGTGGAGAACCTATGGCAATATGGCTAGTACAGTAGAATTTTCCTAAAGTAAGACTTAATGGAATGACAGTTTATGTAAGTTTATTTTCCCGGAGTAGGAACTTCTGGACAGGAGATAATACTGTTTTGAAAATACATCTTTTTTTCTTTCTTCTCTCCATATTCCTGCTATCTTTCATTTCAAATAGTTAAACCTTTTTCATCCCTCGAAATTTTAAAATTTATTGGATAATTAGAACGGGTCTTGAGCCGCAACATGCGGCTCAAGAAAAGTCACATATTAACTTGAGGTAATTTAACGATTTGATGGAGGTGTGAAATTTGGAACGGCCGACAAACTGTACTGTAGACCTTAAATGTTCCACTTTTAATATCAATATTTTTTCTAAAATTACAGGTTCATCTGGACGGCCAAGTTATTTCAGTGAAAGACAATTTCAATTTAGCCGAGGATGTATCTCACATGAATGTGGGATCGAATAAACACACCATACAATTGATCAATCGGAAGCCCAACGGAACGTTGAGGATCCGATTTTTGGGAACTGCCTTGAACGTCAAGGTGATGTCAGCGGAAGCCGACAGATTCTTGAAACTCATGCCGGACAAACCGAAAGTAAGTTTTTCCTTCTTTTTTAATGGAAGGGGAGCGATCATATTTTTTGAGGGTTGTACTTGGGAAGCTTAGTTACTTTTTGTTGAGAGTCGGGTTCTATTATGAGGAAGTAACGGCTCGTAGTGTTCTATATTTTTAACAGTTGGCGTGGGCCAAAACTGGCGAAGAATAAAACCACTTTCTAATGAACTATTGTCTAGTTACATGTCGCATTCGTCAAGAACGCCTGTGTATGCTTAATGTTCAAGAGTCTCCTCAACGGAGAACATATTTTTTTAAGAATTGAATCAAGAGGTCTTTGTTTCTTCGTACTGTTTACTTTTTCGTTTTCAGAATTGATCTAATCTCTGTTCTTACGTTTTATCAGGCTGATTTCAGTAAAACCGTCCAAGCCCCGATGCCGGGTCTTGTCAAGAGCGTAAGCGCCAAGGTGGGACAAATGATTCCGGAGGGCCAAGAAGTTTGTGTCATCGGTGAGTCCCTTTTCCTCGGTCGACAAAAATAAGTAGACCCTTTCTCGATCGTTGCATGTTATTGTTTTTCGTGATGTTCTGAGCACCGATGCTGGAACATAATTACTGTATTCGATCTTTTCAACGAAACTGTTGTGACTTCGGTCAAGATTAATTTTCCAACGTTTGATAAGTTTTTTTTTTTGGTGCCCACAGAGGCGATGAAGATGCAAAATTCTCTGACTGCTGCCGTCACAGGCAAGGTGAAGGCAGTGAATGTGAAGCCTGGAGACACGGTCGAAGACGAGCAAGTTCTGATCGAATTCGAGTAGGTAGCGTCGTCTTTTCCAACTGCGCGTGTGCCGTTCGACATTTCCGGGCTTTTCCTTAGAAAAGAAGATTCTCTACTCCGTATGAGTTTCACTGAAAAATCTCAGGTTGCGTGCTTTGCTTAAGGTGTAACTAATGAAAACTCAGTGCTGGGTCATTTTATGTATTTATATTGACGGTGCGAGTCATCAACTGAATAGCCGACGGACTCCGAGTGAACTTCCGCCAGATTTATATAGTTGATACCATATTGGTTCGATTCCTGAAGTGAAACTAAGTTTCAGCGTGAAAAATATTTGGAATGTTTTTTTTTAGTCAACTGTCTCAATTGTGATTGTCGAGCTGCAATTTTTTTTCGAGTTCCACGCAAACTCTGCTCGGATTTGAGGAGTAGAAATCAATCAAAATATGTGTTGTGGGCAAGGTTATTTCTGAGATATTCTGAGTACATCTGGATTTTAACAGTCGATCCGGGGTACACGTGTGGGTGTGGATCATGTTCAGTTTCTGTTGAGTTGTCAATTGAAGCCTTGCAGTACAAGTGACAATAAAAGACTTCAATGGGTGTTGAGAACGTGAAACGCGATCAATTTTTCTTCGAATATTGACAAGCGTGCCTTTTGAGGAAAATTGAAAGAAAGATCTGGGAAGAGGATTATTCTGAAGAAATCGTGACATTATTTTCGATATGAGACAGCTATTACAGTATTCCATTTTACGTCTAAGACAGTATTGTCGAGCCATTTGGAAACTGCTGCGCCTGCCTAGATGGTGCTAGGATCAATGATGCTCAAAAAGGAGTAAAAAATTGCTTCCTCTTGTTGACAAATAGAATCGTTGTTCAGAATTTCACCTCCTCCGTGGACCAGGCTTCTTGTGGGTGACGATTGCAATGAGAAGAAATTCTTGAATCGTTAAAAGATGGCTGATTTTGAACGAGGAATCAACTATTGTTTGAAGTGCTGGAAAAAGGGTAAAAGATCTTGCTTCGCTTGGAATTTATTCCCTTTTAATTTTGTACATGTATATTATTATAATGAGATTCAAGGAAGGACGCGTTGTGTTTGTTAAAAAGAATGTTGAAAATTTTTCTGACCAAGCGATAGAAGCATTTTTACTGTACAGGGAAGAGGTTCTTCAGGAAATTCGCTTGAATAGTTTGTATACTTCCGAAAAAAGTATTTATTTGATCGAAAGCACTGTTTTCTGATTCTTCTGAAGTGTAAAGCAATGAAGCATTTTTAGGTTTCATGAAATTGTTGGACCTCGCACAGAAACTTTAATATTGCCGCTCGTATTTGGAAAGTATGAAATTCGAATGCCATTGGGAAACCGGTGTATGTATTTTGCATTTTGTACTCTTGCGCACGTTCGTCCCCAATACGATCCCTTCTCAAGCGCCTTTATCGTTCTCCGTGTTCGCGGGGTTATTCAACTGAGGAACCATGAGCAGAATCCCTGGAGATTGATCCCCCTCGGAATTGGTGTCCACATTGTAGCTGACCGATCTCAAACGATTTCCGCACGCGACACTTTCTTTGTTTCCTTGATGACCGTAAACGGCCTCCGTCAAGCCTGACCCGTGGCTGCCGAACATGGACAAAGGTAGAGTCGTGGTGGATGAGTTCTGATTCGGGGTCGTGGTTGTGCTTTCAGTTTGATCATGGTTCTCCTCTTCAGGTTTGTCCGGTTCATCTGGAAATGAGCGTTTTACATTATATGCTTCTCTGCCCAGCATTTCAGGGATGTCTGGTTTCTGCGCGAAGTGCTGCATTTATCGGGAAATTTACCGTGAAAATACAACTGGCCGCATAGAAGTAAGTCGACGTCCCGTCCAACTCTCCGCATACTCAAGTGTTCGTCATGCCTAACTGGTTGTCAAGACCAACTGGACGCCACGGAGACAGTGATTTATTTTCACGTTGAAGTAACTTTTGCAGCCCAGAAAAATTACATGAAGGGGCTAGCCAATTCGAAATGGAATGAGCTTTTCTTAAAGTTATGTCTCGGCGTGTTTGCAATGGTGAGTTTTCTACGGCGTTCAAAAGGTCTTGGCGGCAGGTTAAGCATGATGACCACTGAGAGGGGCGGCAAATTGGACACGACGTTCTCTTCAGTACAGCGGCAATTTTTTTTAAAGAATGAATGATTTTTTTGTGAGATTTAGGGATTTCTTCGAGGTCTGGTTGCTACTCAGTGTCAAGAATATTGATTCGTCTTGCAGTGATTCCCCAATTTGAAGTGGAGAAACTTATTTTTTATTTTTGAATGAGTGAATTATTGAAATTGGTGAGCAAATGGGTGGACGTTTTGTTTCCTTTGTGTGACAACCAGACAGCCCGCATGCTTGGTTATTTTGAATACGTTGTACAGTGCATATATTTTCCATGATTGCCATAAGGAGCAAGATTACGTCATTTCGTGCGAAAAACTGTCTGCAAATGAGTGAATTATTGAAATCTGAGAACGAATGGGTGGACTTTTTTTCGTGATTTCGTGCTGCAACCAGAAAGCCTTCATGCTTGGTTATTCTGAAGATATGTTTTACAGGTTATTCACCTTCCATGACTGTCGTGAGGGGCATGTTAACTTCATTTTGTGCTACGAACTGTCTGCTTCCGGTGGATGGTCTGTCGAAAAAAAATTTGTACATCTTGTCCGACACCGTCGTGGACCGCTTTGGTAGAGGACCGATTTGCATTGAAACCTGGAACAACAGATCATTTCAGGATTCCGGAAGATGTGGTTGGATTCGCAATTTTAGTGGAATGAAGGATGATAATTTCCGATGCTCACGGAAAGGGAGTCTTTTCGGTGGAGTGCTCCGTGGGATCCGGAATTCTCGTCTCGAACCGCATAGTTGCTCAGAAACCGCTTATATGCTGGAGGTTTCTTCAGTCGGAACTCCGGCACCTTGAGGCTGTTGTCCACGAGAATCTCCGGAGTGTTCGGCACGGACGGACTGACCTTGCGCGATGTGAGATCGCAGAAGCTGCCAGCGAAGTGTGGCGCCTCAACGCGTGGTGCAGCGCCATCTCCGTTTGGTAACACGTTTGGCAACACCTCGTCCCAATATGCGTCTTTCACGAGCTCGGGGTGCGTTGCGTGCATCTCGTCCACGATCATGTACGAGACCTTTTTGTTCAATCCGGTGTTCGTTAGACCGTGACGAAATTAATGAAATCGTTATTATCCGTGTAGTATACCTGCAAGTGTCTGTCGATCAACCAGTTGAGCTCGAAGTCATCGTCGTCATCGCCGTACGGATTTATCAGAGTCTCCGCGACTTTCATCCATCCCATGTAAACCAGAAACTGGGGACATCACGGTGACGTACGAAGATGCAAATCAGTTTCCGAATTGTATACGGTTTCTTGGAATTCAATGTGTAAAGCGGAAAGTCAGTGTTTACGTGGGGCAAATCTTAATTGCAACGCTCGCAAAGAACCTTGAAATTGTTTTTGATGAGTACGTGTTAGTGAAGAAGTCTGAAAAATAATTGCCTAGATCAGTTCAGCGGGGAAAACGGGAAACACAGTTTACGCTTTGCCACTGCGTTATACTGTAATGCATATATGTATGGGAAGAAACTAGAAGCGGATGTACCTCGGGATAACTCCCAAGTTTATAATAAAAGCGCCGGTTTTAGTGTTGGTAACATTCACGTAAACTGCGACGGATTGTCATTCTGATGGACAAACAGGAAACTGTGTCGTGTGGAATTAACATTTCTCTGCAAGAAATTACGCCGTATTTTATTTTCACTCTGTATGTATGCTTTGCTTGAATTTGTTGGGCGTTCCACGACCTTCCATTTGGAATAAATCGCGTAGACAATTAAAGGAAGAATTGAATGATTACTCCAAGTACCAGCACGCGCACTTTTTTTTCTCAAAATTGAAAGGAAAAGAAGGGATGGTACGTCATAGGCAGATATACGTTTTTCAAAAACCTTCGGAAGTTTAGTTTTGCATTATCCTTGATTCTTTTGGGAAATTTTGAGCCAATTTGATCAGAAAAAAACTGATTTTAATGAAAAGGATAAAACATTAATTTAATTCAGGTTCAAAACTGTTCAATACATGACTAAATTCAAATTTCGTGTTCGTATTTCGAAATATTCCACTTCTAGTGTCTCTAAAAATGGGATACGCGTCTTATTCGAGTGCGTGTGGTACGACTTGAGTAAAAACGGTGTACTGTATCGTAGATATTTTTATAGGGAAGTTCATCACCTGAAAAACGGTGAAAACTGGCAAGTAAGCATCGACTTGATCTCGCTCGCCGGTGAATTGTCTCCCGAACAAGTTCGCCAAAAAGTACGCGTAAACTGCGATGGTGACGACCTGAATCAACCCAAGAATGGGAAAGCCATGCGTTCAAAGGTGAACCTTCAAATCCTCTGCTGTGTACGCAGCCATAAATGTAAATGCCACCAGGAATAGTTAGTATACCTGCGTGTAGACGAGAGGTACGTTGATGACTTCAATGTGAAGGCTCTTTTCGCATTTGCGACGGAAATCGCACAAGTGGTCGATCATAGTTTTCATGGAGATGTCGGCATCTATAAGCTTCTCCCTCCTCGCTTTCGTTACAATGGCCGTAGCCCAGACCAGCGGCATCCAATACAACTTCGTTATCCTTCCGGACATCTCCTCAAAAATCTGCTTCTCTCCCTCTTCAAGCAAACCTGTTCAGAGTCGCAGTTTTTGTTTCATTTTTTTTTTATCCTCGATTTTTTTCAGGAGCAACATCGACGGCACAATCACGAAAGCATTATACGGGTGTTATACGGTAATTGTAATAATCAAGATGAATCAGGGTTTTATATTTTATGGTAGGAAGCGGTTGATCTGCGTTCCTACCATTCGATTATGAATCGAAGCCCTATATCTACAGTATTGGTATTGTTCTAATTGCGTACCTCCCAATGTTTTACGAACGGAAGTGTAGTTTTGCATGTTAAAACTCTTCGGGAAGCACGTAGACGAAGATTTTGTTCGTCGCATTGAAAAAATATGACTGTCGAAAAGCTCAAGTGTTCTCATCACGGATCGGAGCTTATTTCGAAATTCGTATACTGTAGTTCTGCTCTTTGGAATAGAAAGTCCGAATTAACTTGTGTATGTGACAATGGTGACATGTAATTTGATACCAATACCATCATGTAGTCATTGTACTATATAACTATAGTGTATGATGCGCACCCAATTTTTCATTAAAAATCCGTGAGGCGGGATGCATTCAAATATGTTTTCGCTTATGACGCTGACCAATTTGTTCTTCGATTTTTTCAAATAAATTAACTGATGGTTAAATACTGTAAAGTGAAGTCAAACCTCATTAAAGCCAACACGATTTGTTTGTGTGGTTTGTGGCGGTTTAATGGGGTTGGTGGTTTATTAAAGAAGCTGAAGTATTGTGATATGAAAATGAAGTACAGTATAATGAGAAAAATTCGTATTCTTCTAGAAAACAATCAGAATAACCTTGGCGTCCTTGGGTTTTGTAAATTATATCTGGCAAATGTTCCCAGTGTGTCATCTTTTTGTCTCCGTTTTTTTGTTTTTGGAGAATTCTCATAGAAACCTGAATCTTTTTGCCAGACTATCCAAGACTTAATTGATTGTCAATAGCATATTTGAGTTGTCAATAATTTTGGCAGATGGCGTTCGATTGGGATTTGACTGTATTTTTTATGAAGTGGAGTTCTTTCAACTTCGATGCCGTGACCTGTTCGCGCATGATTTAACTTATTTTTGCTACGGCTTTGGTATCGCCTTAATTTTTGCGAATTGTTGGTTTCAGTGCAAACTTGCTAAGGTTATGTTTGGACTGGCGTAGTTGTAGTCATGCCTCAATGTATGTAGTCTCTTCGTTCGTGTTAATGGGTCATGCTTTGTGGTGAAGTTATATTAAGATACTCCGGGAAAAAGCCTGATATTGAATTTGAGGGTTCGAAGTCAAGCATTTGAGTCTGAAGGAAAAACGTTTTCGTTTTGAATGCGACGCTATATGCAGTACATACCTGCGGCGACGAGATGGTCCAGAGTCGGGAAACGTCGTCGGACGCTGCCACTGAACAAAGCCATGGTGTGGACGCCAGCGAGATTCACGTAACGCATGATAGTTCTTCGCATAAGTCGAGCACGTTCGTCCTTCGAAATTTGTTATTTAATTATTATTTCCCTTCTACCTATTTCAAAAGGCTTGGATGAAGTCTGAACGACCGACTTACTTGACCCTTGAGAATCGCCGTGACGAACATGGCTATGTCGTCAGGCCAGGGCAACGTGTCCCACATGATCCACCAGCGGTTGACGATGAGACTCACGTAGAATCCCAGCACGAACGGAAGCGGAATAAGGTCACTGAATTTGTTGCAGTACAAGCACAGCTTGTCGAATATCCTGTAATTAAGAATCGCGTATTGTTTCAGGGGAGAATCATTGTATATCAATTTTAATCAAGTCTAGGCGAAAACGTACAGTATCTCGTTGTCCCCAAGAAAGTATCGTCTCATGATGCTTAGAGACGCGTAAATCATCAGCCAGACAAGCAGGTCACAGTAGATCAACTTGTAAACGGATCCTCTCCAACTGAGGATTGAAAAAAAAAAATCCTTCGATCTAGTGACATAGTTCTTGTTATTTTTGTGCTGCTTATTAATTGGATAAAATATGTCATGTCCTTGGGTCTATATATCATGTACTTCGTAAGTATCAATACTCGCAATCTCTTCAGCACGACTTCGATTGGGACCGGGTTTTCTTTATTCCCCAAATATTCTCCAAGGTTGCAGAAAACATTTTATCCCAGAAGATGGTGCATGCGTATTTTCTGTTCTTCGAGCTTTGTTGAGGTTTATCCCATAAAATTTCTCCCATGTAAATGGGGTGAGTATATGAGGTTTTCTGTGAGTTTTTGCTGGTGTTGGAGTGCGACACGCATAGAAAAAACAAAAAATCATATTAATCTTCGTGTATTCAGCACCGGCTGCAGGACATTCCCAAAATGGAAGTAATTTGCAACGGAGTGACATTTCATCCTTCAATGATTTTTTCTCAATTTGTTATTCTCCCGGAGAGAACTACAGTGCAGTACATGTAGATCAACGATGGAGCTAGAAGTTCTCTTCGAGAAAATGAAAGAAATTTAGTGTACTTGCCGTACTTATTTTATTTTTAGGTGAATTTCTCCATTTTTTATGCGTGCTGCGCCAAACATGCGAATTAAACGACACAATTATTGTGAGGATACAGCACTGGATTCATTACCCTATATTTATCAGATTTATATTGTCAAAAATGCGGAATTTTTCGAGGCGATTTCTACAAGTCGAGTTGGATGAGATGATTGGAAAACATGAAGTGGAGAACATAACCTGCTCATTGTATTGAAGATATCAACGGGAAATTGCACTAAATACGGCACGTGAGTGATCGGTTGCTCATGTTAGGTGACTGAAAATTCCTCCGTAATAAATCTAAATCTTGGATTACGGTACATCGAGCAATGCTATGACGATACTCTTGAAAAATCCATGCTGTTCGATGAGCTAGAATTTTGGAAATTTACGAGCTTTCCGAAATTCTTGCCGAACGATGAGAGTAATTATGAGCGAAAGAAAGCGACCGCTGGTAAACATATCTTTGCAAACTCTCATGTTTCTAAAAGAGTGCATGTAAATGTCGATCACTCAGTCAATAGTCCCCGCAACGATACCGCTTGAAAAAAAAAAACTTGTCATCGCCCTGATCGAGTTGTTGCTTGAGGAGAGGAAAATCGATCCAGTGAACCCATAGTTGCATACATGATCTTGTTCCGACGTGATTAGCAACTTCGTTCCCTCGCCCGCGGCAGTGAGAAACGAGCGTCGAAACCCGATCACCGACTGATCGTTATCTTTGCCACCGCAACGTAATTCTAAACCCCTGCCGGTGCCGGATATTTTCCCGATAATGTCGTGTCATTTGACGTGGATTGAAATTTATGTCTGGAGTCTAATACGTTCTTAACTAAGGAATGAAGATGAGTTTGTCCCAGTTACCAGAATTTGAATGACATGAAGATTTTGATGAAAGGAGGTTGTCTTTTATGGACAACTTTGTTCGCTATACATAGGCTGTCTGAAAGACAAAAAATGAAGTTACAGTATTTCATCTTGTGATCTGCAGGGACCGTGGGATTGTATATTTCAAGAAGTATGGGTATAAGCTATAAAGCGCTAAATACAGTAGTATACATTATGCTGTACTACAGTTCAGCACAGTGTTCCCCACCGCAGTGGCCTTCTGACTGACAGCAGTCTACAGAATTTTTTTGCTGTTCCACAGGAAACTTTCTTCAGCATAACAAATTAATCAAAAGTAGCAATGAAGTCTGTTATCTTTATCTGAAATTTTGGAAAGGCATCAGTGGCAGTTGGAAGTATTGCATGAAAAACAAAAGTTGGCTTTTCTCCTAAGAACACTCAAGACAAATATTCACCAGTTGAAATAAATTATTTTCATTTTTCATCCTGAGAAACGTTTTTTCAAGCCCATCTTTCTAATTCTTTGAAGACATTCCACTAAAGCGGCTTCATTTATTGGTTCTTGATTTTATTCTTGCAAAAAGCAGAACCTTTTTTCCATACCTGCTATGAAGTCTTTCGAACTGAAATTTTTTGAGTCCATAAAAATTTTATTAATCGTTGCTGTTAAGCAGAATTTTTTTTTTAAGTTTCCTGGAAATCAGTCAGTCTGCGGGTCCAAAAAGGTTGGGGAAATACTTCAGCATTCTGGCTGCTGAGATGGAAGTTTAATGCCTTTCGATTTTCCATGATACTGCTTCCAGCAGTTTGAGGAGCTATAGTTGAACAAACGAAGTAAGATGAGTTTTAATTTGCTCAAAAATGGTTTAGTTTTCAAAAAATTTTAAATTTCGGTAAATGGTATCTTTGGACATTCAATGTGGAGCAAACTGCGAATATTGTATACCGTCGTTTCAATTTTGTTCCGAAAATTTCTCCGAAGCGCTCAATTATACATGCTGTGCTCGTATATAGAGACTTTTTGAGTGAAGATATCAATCATAGTGTTTCGACTAAGAAGGAACTCCTCGCCCACTTGAATTGTCTGCAGCATTCAAAATATCGTGGCGTGTATATTTTACGCGACTACGGCGGTGAGCTTGTAAATATATACGTTTGACAAGATGTGCGGATCGATCACCTGTAACGCCGCGCCTACGAGATTTCCTGTCAGAGGCACCTTCTGCGGAAGTATTTTCAAGCGCGTCGATCTTGTTATCGTTTCGTTCGTGCGTATTTCAATTTCATTTTGTGCATTTGAAACCAGCAGTGATGACTAACTCACAGCAGGTGTTGATAGATTGTGTGCGCGGCTGCCTATATGTTTGGTCAAATGATGCCAACGACCGCACGCGGCTCTTCTCTATATTTGCAAAGAAATTGAAAATACTGAAACTCCTCGGATCCGAGAGGGTTGTATAACGACTTCAGCAGAATTTTGTTCACGCTTAACTTAAATGACCCAGCATAGCCAAAATCAGTCTTTTTGTAATAATTGGATCACCAGCAGCATTGATCTATGTACAGGGTACTGTATTCTGTTTCCAGGTTGTCCACATAGAATACAGTAAATTGAGTAAATCCATTAAAAATCTCATGAAAAAGTTTTTTAGTCCCAGAGCATTTTCTTCGTACTAGGGAAAATGGCAGACACATTTTGTTATACAACCTGAACCTCTTCAAGTCTAATTTCTAGGGACCAGGGAAAAAATTTGACTGAGAGAGGTTTTGAGCAAAAGAAACAGACATTTTTGTTATGAGGAAAAGTAAAAAATTGTGGGAAATTGTAGATGAGGATATTCAGGGCCTGAACTTGCTTCTAAGTGAGTTTACAGCTTGCTGAACTTGGAGGCAGGGGTTCATTTGTTCAAATAGTCTTTCACTTCATTTTAAGATGCATAAAGTCATCTGTTTTATTGATTTTCTCTTTCACATGTCAAGGAAATAATAACCAATAGGCCTCAGAAAATTTGACTTTCAGAGGTTTGAGAGAAAAATACTTCAAGTTAGGGAGGTTTTTTAATGCATTGTTTCTTAGGGAATCCAGACAGGGACTTGAAAAAAAATTCAAGCTAGGGAGGTATTTGACTTAGGGAGGTTCAACTGTAACAAACCAATTTCCCGCTAAAACCTGCAGAGTATGCTGTGTATAACAAATATTTGCCATGGTTATATAAGCATGGGCTATAGGAATGTTTTCTAAGTTTCCCATGTGAAAAACCAACTTGTGCTGCATAATTTGAAATATTCAAAAAAAATTAAATGCTAATCTTATGCGGAGAAAATTTAGCATTGCTTAGAGTCTACAAAGCTCTGATCAAAATGTATCTGCATTGTTGATAAGTAAATGATTTTCAACGTGTATTTTCTGTATTTGTCAGCTAATACTTCATTAAGATCAGTGCATATATACAGTATAGTTTGAGAACATTTTAGAAAGGGAAGGTCTGAAATATGTATGAGCATTGTATTTTATGTTTTAATTTTCTTTATTATATCCGAAGTTGTTGAAAATGAATTGGAAATTATGGCAATTCACATATCTGTTATTGTGGAAGTCCTTGAAATAATTGTGTACGTGTTTCTCGCAAAATTTCAGTCCTATATATTTAGAGTATTTACAAAGATTAATGATTATGATCCTCATGAGAGACATTATTTCTCGTAACAATTTCTCCTTACAGCCCTGAGAGGTAATCGTTGTAATGATACTCAACTGTTAACAGATAGACTCTCTGTACGATAATATTTACTCCGACAATTTTCTCTGTGCAGTATAATATAATCGTACTCAGGTCTCACAGGGTTCGTGGTATACCCATGTTATGGGGGTTCTCTTATACGACAAAGTATACTCCACAATGAATTTGTTTGGTCCCCTGAAATTTGTTGGATAGATTCAGCAACCCACTGGCCTGCTGCATCATACATTTTCAGAGGAGATTTGCGTGCCTCCTATAGCTGTGAAACCTCCATAAACGTGGCTTGTATATTTAGTGTCAATTAAAAGACTGAGACATCCAAGATATAAGCCAAGTGTGTCATGAAAAAATATACACTTCGTGCTAGAATAAAGGCTTGAGCTATCCCATCGTAGATCGGAAGCCTTGGCGGGTCTCTCCGCGTTTATTGTTCAGATTAAAAACGGAAGAACATGAGTATAAGACTCACACATACGGGCGAGTCTATATTGCCGTCATCAACTGTATATTCTCATGGTTCTGTATTCGGTGACCCTGTGGATCACAGAACAGGAGGTGCTACATAAAATGTAACTCAAGATAATTAATTCCTTGGGTTATTGGTTATTATATTGTTGCCACGGGGCATATACGAGGGTTCTAACAAAAGTTCTCGAAATGAAAATGAAAATGGCGTCTAATCGAGCTGAAAAAAATTATTCTTTAGGGCAAACCTATTCTTTGGCACAAACAAAAATCAGCCCTGTTTGACAATTTTTTTAATGTTTTGCATAATTCACCGTGGCAGAGTTTTGCTATCCACTCAACAAATGAGGCGTCCTTCCTGCAGTTTTTTTTTTTTTTTTTTTTTTTTTTTAAAAAAAAAAAAAAAAAAAAAAAAACTGCAGGAAGGACGCTTCATTTGTTGAGTGGATAGCAAAACTCTGCCAGGGTGAATTATGCAAAACATTAAAAAAATTGTCAAACAGGGCTGATTTTTTTTTTGTGCCAAAGAATATGTTTGCCCTAAAGAATAATTCTTTTCAGCTCGATTAGACGCCATTTTCATTTTCATTTCGAGAACTTTTGTTAGAACCCTCGCATATACTGCACGTGGAAACAGCACAGGAGAGAAAGAAGGAATTGTACTGGTCTCTGCATGCAGCCCGTGTGTTGCTGAAAACCGGCAAGCTGGAGCGAGTGTGATGTGTGTCGCACACCCCAGGGGGGTCGATTCGATGGGAAAGACTATATATACTGTACAGATAATGCAATATGTACAGTATATAAATATATACGAGAATATACATACGTACGCCGCGCATGCGTCGAGCACGTGATGAGCCTTATATTGTGTACATACGTCATGCGCGGACGCCTCAGCAGACGCCGTGGCGCCGGCGCCGGAGGTTGTTCCGCTGATCGTGCGGTGGTTTTCAATAAAGGAGAAACTATACTGCATATATACGTAGCAGAACTGATCCAACTATGTCTGGCCTCGATTTAACCAGCATCTATGTATACAGGCGAGGACACTGCTGATGTGTACACATGAGAGGAAAAAATATGGCTGGCATATTTCTCTATATTGTCATGAATGCATCATTATTTTAACTTATATGTTGCTGCTTGGGTAGATTTTTGGTGCTGCTCTGAATTTAATAATTATCCTCGATGATTTTAGGTATGATTTTCAACAGATTTTCACCGATAGCTGCTGATTTGAATTAAATTTTAATAAGGGGCATTTCTATATTATTTTTTTCATGATATGGCATTTGGCATGCGACGCAGGTATAGTCATTAGCCTGGCCATACTTGATTGTAATTTTAGTTTCTAATAGATGAAAGGGAATCAAACTTTTCCACATTAACCAAAATAAGTGTGGTACAGTATTGCAAATGTTGCCTGCATTATTTTTCTGTTTAAAATATGGACATTGAATATAAAACCCCTCGATCTGATGGGGAGAAAAAACACAGAAAATGGATCCCCAGCAATCTGTTCCTTATTAATTCACGAGCATATGCATATTTATGACAATGGAAATTTCATTGATCTCCAAATATAATTAGAATTATGCTTTAACGCTCGCACGTTTGCTGTTCCTTATCCGCGCAAAAATCTCAAAACAGCATCAAAATTCTTCAGAAAAATATACCGAACCAGTGCAAAATCCAGGTACATCAGAATTTCATGACTTTTCATGAAACATATTTGAAGATAAGACCTCGAAACTAATGCAGCTTCAAACTTTTCAAAAATATCGCTTGATATAGCTGTGGAACTGGGCAATCTGGTCTGTTCAATATAGTGCAGTATGCAAAAATGAACGAATAATTTACAGAAATACGTATGAGCCGCAGCATCAAATAAATTGGAAGTATGAGTGGCTATATAAAACAAGCTGCATCAAATCACGATGAGCATCTGCGTTTTGTGTTTTGAATGATAACATATTAAACAGCAAACTTTCGGAGTAAATCTTCTTGTTATAAAAATAATCATACAGTAAATGTACAATATCTTTTAAATGTACATTTTCCTTATTGATTGATAAAAATAATCAGCTCTGTATAGTCTAAATCAGCTCTACGAGGGTTCTAACAGAAGTTTTCGGAATATAAATTGAAATGGCGCACAATCGAGCTTTAAAAAAAATTATTCTTTAGGGAAAACCTATTCTTTGGCACACACAAAAATCAGCCCTGTTTGACAATTTGTTTTTACTGTTTTGCACAATTTCACCATTTGCCATTTTCATCAACAGCCGCCACATTACTTGGCGCCTCATCTTTTGAGTTGAGAGGAAAACTCTGGCAGAGTGAATTTTCCAAAAAATTCAACAACAAAATTGTTAAACAGGGCTGATTTTTGTGTGTGCCAAAGAATAGGTTTTCCCTAAAGAATAATTTTTTTTAAAGCTCGATTGTGCGCCATTTCAATTTATATTCCGAAAACTTTTGTTAGAACCCTCGTATATTCCTGCTTTTCACGTCTATATTTTTGGTGCCACAAAAATTCTGCAAGAAAGATGTGTTTGTTTCTTTCATTGAAATGTGGCTGATGCTGGTATAGTTGAATCAGGTCTGAAATAATGCATAAAATCAAGGTAATATATATGCCCGACCAAAGCGTATAAAATTTTTGGAATCACATAGAAAGAAATTTCGGCTATCTTTGCGTTCATGAGCCGCTAAAATAATCATATTTTAAGGAAAACCGAAAAGAACTCGAAAATAGAATTATTCTTATACAGTATGTAGTAATGCAGGTATATGCTGATGGAACTAAATATAACAACGATATTCTGTGTAAGAATTTTAGTTTTATTAGAAACGCCGGGAACTGAAAGTTCGTATACAGTAAATTAAGTTGGCGGTTTGATCCTCGTCGTCGAGTCAAATCCCCTGAGGCAAGGACAGCAACTCATTTCATTAGTTGTTGCTGCGAGCCCGGTTTAAACCGTGACCTCCTCAGAGCAACTGATCGGTCAGACAGGGCAAGCAAATGCCCATTCGTCCTGGTCAGATGTACAGTATATAGCTGGGGAATATTTCCAATTTCACTCAACCCTTGGAGTTATTTTCCCTCTACTGAGCATGCCATATTTTTCAATCGAAAAATCGACCTATAGTCTATAATTCTATTCAAGTTTAAGTGTTATTCAGACAATTCCCTGAATATATTCTCAACCAAACATACGATGAGGTATCATCACTTCTTGGAGATAGTTTTTCAAGAAAATTATCGCGAAAAAAAACGTTTTTAAATGTAACGTTCTCGCCATCCTCGTGTTCTTGCTTTAGTTGTTTGTCAATGATTTGCAATTGGAAAAAGCCGCGATGATTCACAAATTGTCTAGTGACAGACAGACAGTTTGCTAATTTGATCACTTATCCATCTGAAAACAAAACCTAGCCCAAAAATCAGTTACGTCACACCAATTTTTATGTTGAATTTCGGAATTGAGCCATCTATATATATAGAGCTCTTTAGACATTTTCAGGCACTTTTGTCACAAAACGATTGTGCGTGCAATTTACGCAGATAAAATGGCAATTTAATTGACATTACCATGTTGAATACAATATTTTCCCGCGGAGTCCGAGGATTCCGAAAATCCCGCGATTCCAAAATTATTCGGGTTAATGTCTGATTCTTTATCTCCTGCTGTGAGATTTAAAATTTCAAGTATTACAATTCCGTGAAAATGTCTTGCTTCATTTATAATTTCCCCCTGTTGAAGTCTGAGGATCCGAAAAATAATATCATGTATAATTATAAACACAGCATTGAAGAAGAGGAATGTTCAAGCGTTCTATAGTTTGAAGAGTGGGTCATTTATTGTAGGATGACTTTTATCCACAAAAAACAACAAGCCTCAAAATGCTTTTAAAAATGAAATAAAATTTTTGAAAAGTGTGGACAACATCTGGAGCTAGAATATTGCTGATTAGACAAAAGTTGGCTGTCATATTGTGGCCCCCAAAGAATAATTGTCAATTATTATTCCCTGCAGATTTTATTCCCTGCATTTTTTCAGTACATAATTATTTTGTTGCACAGCAAATAAGTGAAGCGTATCTGGGAGAACTGTATCAGAGAACCATTTTGAGATCCATCCAGAGGGTAAAGAAACATACACATGCAGTTCTCCAATGGAACATACAATTTTGAAAAGTTTGACCAAATACAGTTTCTGATATCCATCTGAAACACATATCCATATATGCTTTTATAGAGACACTTTGAAACCTAGCTCAGAAAAAAAACTATGCCTGAAGCAGTGATATTTTGGTCAAGGATCGGCTGCTGTTTTCCTATTTTGGAGCACCTATCAGGGGCTTATTCTTCACTGCATATACAGATAATCAGCAGTTTCCACACTTTTGATGGACACTTTTGTAAGGTTGTAATATAATCCCAATAACTCCACCACAGTCCCTTTCTGTATAGTCTACAGCAATTTATTTTCTAGTTTCCAACTATTATTACCACATGGTCCACATGTATAAATACAGAATCATACTGCTGAAGAAAAATACTCACAGAAAAAGCAGCTTCCAGAATCTTCCAAAATAGCCTCCACGGGCCATTTTGTGAGCGTAAAGCACCGACATGTTCCCTTAAATTAATGGTCATGCACTTCTGCAGACGTCAATCGATTTTCGGTCGTTTAAGACCATTAAAAAAAAAAAAGGAACCTTGCGATGATTGAGGAGACGCACCGTTTGTCTATTTAGCAGGATATGCTTGTGAAAAATGAATAAAAAAATTATTAACACGAACAACCATGTAGCACGAGATCCTTGATGATGATGACACCTTGATGCCTCACTCAAATGATTTGTCGATTTATTTCGAAACGCGCTATTTTCCGATTAGAACTTACGCTGTATGCGTTTCGTAAATTATTTATATTTCAATTTGCTGCTGGCCGCAATCGCTCATAACAGTTTGATACAGTCTACTGAATTCGCTGACGATCGAGGTTTTCTTTTCTTATTTTCAAAGCACTGAAACGTCCACAATATATATTAATTGAATTACTGTATAGAAGAATAAGAGAAGAAGCATTGGACCTCTTATACGAAAATTGAAACAATCGCCGTTCGGGTTCCCGACTATATAAATTCGAAACAATGATCTGCGTCTGAGAATATATAGATTTTGGCTTGTGCACACGCGTGCACAGCTCGGATCGAGTGTCGGGCAACAACTGCGCCGCGGGCGCATAAAATGCGATCTCTGCATGTGCACTCCCAACAGCAAACACACACACACGCAAGTATACATTTATATGTTACGGTATATATATATAAATATTTGAAAAGGGAGGGAGAGAAAACAAAGGTTCCAAACCTAACTGAGCGTTGGGACAGGTGAGCGCCGGTGAAAAAATAAATAAAATGAAACGCCATTTCTATAGCAAATGATCCTCAACACACTTTACTTTTCAGCAGTTATACTTTCTATACTTAAGGGATATATGCAATTTTTAATTCCCTGACAATTCTCGCACCCCGACAACTCGTCAAAAAGGCAACAACTGGAATTTATTTTTTAAATGTTCAAAAGTATAGTATCATTTTAATAAAATTGCAGCATATTTATAGGAAAGTGTCTTTAATTATTTTGTTGCCTGGATTCATATATTTTGTCCAGCATGAATTGCATTGTATTTTTGGATTCATTTTTGGATTCAATTTATGAAATGGTGTTTGCAATGCATTCTTATTCTGCTTAAGGCTGTTGGAGTTCAGTGCAAGGTAATCTTTTCCACCACATCATAAATGTTTAACATTTATATTTTTCTATTTTAATAATACATCTTAGTTCTTGAAAAATTAAAATCTGAGATTTGTGTGTGAGTCTGAATTTAAAATCATGCAATAATACTTTTATTTGTGTAAAAATCAATTTAGACTGCCCCTCATTTTAATACTTGTCAGTGTTCTGGAACAGGTCTTCCATTTATTCCTAGTTTGGAAATTGAAAAATAAGTCCCATGAAGCTGTACAATAAATATGCATAAAATACTCCCCCACTATTCTATGAAAGTGAAACAGCAATTCAAATTGATTTCATAACCAATAAACAAATCGCATGCATTTTCTAAATTATTACACTCATAAAAATCTAATTTTGGCTTTAAAGAACTATAATACATATGGAATATTATCAAAAGATTTTAAATTTTCACAAATTTTTGAACCCTTGCAGGTGATGGAGTTTAACCAACACGTATTGCAATTCTGATACTTCTTGATTTTAAAAATAGGGTCATCAAAGGTATTCCAAGAAGACAGGGGATTTCAATAATCCATTTAAAATATTGAAGAACATTTAATGTAATTTCATGACAATTCGTTGTATTTCTGCTGTACAATGTTATTTTCCTATTGATTTCCGTTTTTTGAAACCCTTCGCAGGTATGGACTTTAAGTTTAATAAAACGCTTTAAAATATGTTGCGACTCTGATACTTCGTATAAAAAAATTGCGAAGTTATAAATCTGAGGAGACATTAGGAATTTATTTCGATCAACCTATATGTACAGTATTCCTCCTTAAACTTTCTTCTTAGACAATCCTCGAATATGCTCTCAAACGCTTTAACAAGAAAGCTTCATTACAGTCCGGAGAAACGGAGTTAACATGGATTGTGTGTGGAGTCAAAATGATTCCTGATTGATTTTTTTCAACCATGCAATTTTTAAAATATTCCTCATCGAAGAAGTACGCCAGCATAATTTTTACTATATATAGCTAGAGTGGCCATATTCTTTAACAATTTCAGCAAACAAATTTCCTAGTTCATTTCTATTCTGGCCAAAGGACTGAAAGTGGCTTACAAGGTATCGTTCCATGGATACACGAGTTAATTTGGAATTGAATCAATGTCCTTTTAATATTGGACAATTTGGAAATATAGAGCCACACGAAATGCACTCTTGAGAAGTATGAAAGGAAACTTGACCGAAGCGCGTGGGGAAACAAACGGTTTCGTTTGCCCGTTTGTTTGCTATATAGTCGCTCGATTCATCATTGTTGTTCTGTTGGTTCAGAGCAGAGAAGCAGAGGTAGATTTTCTTTCCCCGTCGTAATATTATTTTTACATGATATTTTATTTTGATCTATATATAGTCAGTTGCTATGCCAGAACGAATGCACAGCATGCGGCTTCTGATTGCTCAGAAAGGGAAAGGATTGTTGTGAAAACAGCTGACAGCAGCAGCAACACGCGTAGCTGCATTTTCTCCAACTCTATGTTTTGATGGAAATCTTGACGAGTTTTCTTGGTAATATCATGTTAGGTAATCTGCAAAATGTTCTATACAGTGAGACCCCCACATGCGGACACCTCAACCTGCAGACAATTCAACAGATGGACACTTATTTTCCCATAAAAAAATTAATAGAAAAGGCCTCACATGAGGACACTGACTCAACATGTAGTCAATTTGTGATAACGTTGCAAATACATTTCAGGCCATACTACAAGAAACAGATATTTCCGAGCCTAAAATTGACGTAAGAAAAGTTCTTGGGTATTTATCTCACCAATTTACCATCCATTTAGCTAATTAAAAAAAATTACCTCCAGCAGAGAGGGACTCTCTTCTCTCATTTTAACTTAAATATTATTTTTTTTAGAAAGAATGCCAACATTTTGATGTACTGCATATACAGAGGTATCAGTGTTCAATTCCCCAAATGTCCATGTTGTGTTGAAATATATTGAGTGAATCAGTTTAAATTGGGAGACAATTTTTATTTTCATGGAATTATGGTGATTATTTTGTGCATAAAGCACCAATTAAAAATTATGTAATGTAAGTCCAAGGGAAAATGATACTTTACTTAGTGCAATTTTTACTTAGGGACACTCTTGATGCACCAATTAGGTCTGCATCTTGGGATCTCACTATATAAATATATACATATTTTTTTAGTAGCCTTCTGCACAAAAAAAAACCTTGCTTACAAATTTCTTCTGGTTCTGCATGTGGGGCGGGACATTTCGTAAATTATAATTATATTTCCGATCAATGCATTTATTCCCCGGCTTGTATCTTTTCGCATTAACGTGATATTTCACGAGATTATCATCAACCAAAGAAAGAAAATAAGATTCAAGTTGTCAATGCGAGAAGTTTCAAGTCCAATATCGTCAAGTGCAAGGTCCGACACTTTTTTTTTTTATAACAGAGAGGAAAATTCAGCTTTCAAGGCGAGTGAATTCATTTCAATCCTATCACGAATACAGTACCAAGATCACATTTGAGGAGACACGTTCCAAATTTATCAAGGACGTTTTCCAGGAAAAATAAATTGAATGAGAAGTCGTTTCACATGATGTTATTTCCCTTCGTTTATTAAGGCCAAAAATCCCATCAGACAGAAAATTTCATAAATTTGAAAATTTTTTTCACTGTGATTGCTGACTTGACGTTTGAAAAATGATAACCAGCAGATACTTTTTGAAAACAATAATAAGTGAAGGCATTTCTCCATGGTTTGTCTTTTGTTCTTGAATTTTCGAACGCGAAAAATTATTTATTCATCAATTAAGTCGGCTTAGTTATTTGTGGTTACGATCAGGTCTATATGTAGACACAACGCAGCGAACCTGTCTTAAATGATTACGCCGTGATTAATCACCATTCATGACCCTCAAAATGCAGTGTATAATATTCGGATTCTCCGTCATGTTTAAATTTTTATTTTTATTTTCTAAATAAGAGGATACAATTTCCAGGAAAGTATCTACGTTGTATTTTCGCCTCATCCCGGAGGTCGGATTCATATTTTGAATACAAATGGAGTTTTGGAGATGTTCGATGCATTTCCGAAGCACGCTCCAGGAAATGAACTACGTACACGAGGTCGAAGCGCACAATGACCTCCCAAATTTGGCGCATGGTATGGAACGCAATCGAAACGGGATTCCGAGAGAAAAATTCATTGGGACATGTTGTCACACCTTACAACATGCCGAGGAAATGGTTTACTCACGTGCCACAGACGAAGAAAATCATACGTTTACTGTATACATAATATCTCAAGAGAAAAGGCCACTGTAAAATTAAGATAAAATGTTTGAAGAAAATGCTGCGAAGAAAATAATGGGAACTGCATTTTCAAAACTTGGAAAATTACAAAAACAAGGAAACAAAGATCATACTTGTACTTGGCAAGTATAAAAAAAAAAGCCGATGCAAAACAAAAATATTTTTTCATGAAAATACTGCGAAGAAAATAATGGGGAAAATTTTCAAAGGTTGGAAAATGACAAAAACAAAGAAATTAAGATCATACATGTAGTTTACGTGTCTGAAACAATTCCGCTGCAAAATAAAAATATTTTTTCATGAAAATGCTGCAAAGAAAATAATGGGGAAAATTTGCGAAGGTTGGAAAATGACAAAAACAACGAAATTAAGATCATACATGTAATTTACGTGTCTAAAAATATGCCGCTGCAAAATTAAAATATTTTTTTATGAAAATGCTGCGAAGAAAATAATGGGGAAAATTTGCAGCAGTTGCATGGAAAAAGGTACGGAAATAAAAGATCATAAATGAAATGCATATGTCGAGGAAAAATTTCGCTACTTAGTAAAAAAATATATTTTGATGAAAACGCAGCGAAAAAAATGGGGAAATTTGTCGCAGCAGTCGGAAAAAATGTAAAAAAAAATTG